CAATACCGGGAAAAGTCTTCAACAGGGTATTGTTAAACAGGATGAAGGACTCCGTAGACGCCCAACTTCGAGACCAACAGGCAGGATTCCGTAAGGATAGATCGTGCACAGACCAAATCGCAACTCTACGGATCATTGTGGAACAATCAATTGAATGGAATTCATCACTCTATATCAACTTCATCGACTACGAAAAAGCATTTGATAGCGTGGACAGAACAACCCTATGGAAGCTTCTTCGACACTACGGCGTGCCTCAGAAGATAGTCAATATCATACAGAATTCCTATGATGGATTGAACTGCAAGATCGTTCATGGAGGACAGTTGACAAAGTCGTTCGAAGTAAAGACCGGTTTCAGGCAAGGTTGCTTACTCTCACCCTTTCTCTTTCTCCTGGTGATCGACTGGATCATGAAGACATCAACATCTGAAGGGAAGCACGGGATACAGTGGATAGCTAGGATGCAATTGGATGATCTAGACTTCGCAGATGATCTGGCTCTTCTATCGCACACACAACAACAAATGCAAGAGAAGACAACCAGTGTAGCTGCAGCCTCAGCAGCAATAGGTCTCAATATACACAAAGGGAAAAGCAAGATTCTTCGATACAACACAACATGTACCAATCCAATCACAATTGACGGAGAAGCTTTGGAAGATGTAAAAACCTTTACATATTTGGGCAGTATCATCGATGAACACGGTGGATCTGATGCAGATGTGAAGGCACGGATTGGCAAAGCAAGAGCAGCATATTTACAACTGAAGAATATCTGGAACTCAAAACAATTGGCAACCAACACCAAAGTCAGAATTTTCAATACAAATGTCAAGACAGTTCTACTGTATGGGGCGGAAACCTGGAAAACTACGAAATCCATCGTCCAAAAGATACAGGTGTTTATTAACAGTTGTCTACGCAAAATACTTCGGATCCGTTGGCCGGACACTATTAGCAACAACCTACTGTGGGAGAGAACAAATCAGATCCCAGTGGAGGAAGAAATCAGGAAGAAGCGCTGGAAGTGGATAGGACACACATTGAGGAAAGCACCGAACTGCGTCACAAGACAAGCCCTCATATGGAACCCTCAAGGTCGAAGGAAGAGAGGAAGACCAAAGAATACATTACGCCGAGCAATGGAGATAGATATGAGAAAAATGAACAAGAATTGGATGGAACTTGAAAAGAAGGCCCAGGACAGAGTGGGTTGGAGAATGCTGGTCGGCGGCCTATGCTCCATTGGGAGTAACAGGCGTAAGTAAGTAAGTAAGTATGAATTGGGATTAGATAGATTAATAAAGATAATTTATGTAATTATGGAGTATGGTGAAGTTATTGTGTGGTGTGGGGTTACTTATATCCACACAAGTAGTATATAACGATGGTCCGGCATAGAATGTATTTCAGTAGAAGGTCGATGAGGAAAGAACGGAAATGGAATGCAATTGGTATGAAAACATATGAACAATGAAATATGAGACAATGGATTGATGTTTGTAACAGGAACAGTCAAATTTGATATGATGGATTGATATTTTTGCAAATTAACGATTTACTATATATGGTTCTCAGATTTTATTGAGATGCTCTATAATTATGTGGCTTAAATACATTCGGTTGTCCTCGCCTGTGTTCTCCTTCACTACAATCACTGTCCACAAAACTGAATTATCAATTAAAGCCTTTACCAATGATCTGAAATTAAAGAAAAGATCACTGATCAGGTAAATATATACTTTTCATCTAATCAAATAACATGATTCAATACAATAAATGAACATGACTAAATGCCTTAGGTTATTGAAGGAAATGAGTTTTATAGGTGTTATTTCCATCGGGGTTTCCCCGTGTGGGTTCGAATCCCATCCCCGTCGCCAGTTGTTATATCTTTAAGGTTGTTTACTTGATATACCGCGTATAACTGAACACTAGAACGCCAAAACCGTTCCAAATCGCAAGGAGAAGACAGAAGACTAATGAAAGGAATATTATTCCAAACAGTGTCAATTATTGTACAAATTGTCAGGTATTTATGGTTTTTAGTAAGAACAAAAATCATCATTACAGTCCTCCAATCCGCATACAGGAGGTTATTAGCCTTGTCCAATTGGGAGGCTACACGTAGGAATTCTAGAATATTCTCCCTAAAGGTGATTGGATGAAATATCTTCGGCTCCTTCTGAGCCTCTTACAGCTTCCTCGAGTTCACCCGTGGTCCGTCGTCACAATAGGTCATTCACCCTACAATCAATTAACATTGTATTGTTAATTCAAATTGTTATTCATCATTTCGATTTTGTATAATAGTACTGGAAATTTACAAGTATTCCGATCCCAATTGTGACGTACATTCAATTTTGACAAATGTATCCTTGAAAGTAAGAAATTTAACTAAATTTATGTATTAATCACCAGTGACTAGTGGAGTTCAACCGGATCTGTTGTGAGATAGTAACTCACTAAAGATAATGATAGATGTGTGGCTCAATTTCGTGGATTAGTTGAAGTTAGACATTAACATCGCCGGCCAACTTAGTGGTTTACAGGTTAAGCGGTCGCGCTCGAGACTGATAGGTCCTGGGTTCGAATCTCGTGAGGTGTGATCGTGGATGCGCACTCCTGAAGAGTCCACACTAGGACGAAACGGTCTTCCAGAGCTTCTAGGTTTTCCATGATGGTCTAGCTTCAATTGACTCGTGATCTCAACTGTTGAAATTACTACAATCTCCATAAGACTCCTTCTAACCGTACTTATTATTACAAATCTAAAAGAATGCTATATATACATACTAAGAGAAAAGTATAAATTAGTATTTAATACAAATTAAACAAACCTAGAAACATTCCAAATGAATTAACCATTCTAGTTTCCCTATCTAATAATCAATACTATTTCTGACTCTTAGAACATACATATACAATCCTTAAGGAAATCGTCACCAACTGTTGTTATTTCACTATAGGAAATACTGGGTTCGAGCATCACGGTGAATATTAACTATGGAATTCAGATACATCCAGTTAATAAGTTCCTAAATATGACGAAACTTGATGCATAGATTCCACTTTTAGTAACTACACGTCTTTTTTTTTTATATACTAGCTGTTCAATGAATTTAATCATGGTCATTATGAAATAAACAAGCCTTTCGATTACATGCTTTATCCATTAATCAGAATACGACTTATACAAATCTTCACACTATGACAGAACCAATAATGTTCAACCGATATGAGTAGTCTAGCATCCTTAATTGGTCCTATGTCCTTCTAACCCATCCACTTGAGTACAGAACACCAATATCAGCTTCTGTCATATGAATCAAATCATTTATTTTAGACATATTCGGTTTATATATTAATCAGACTAGACCACAATGTATCGTAAAATAGAAAATAACAGCCAAAAAAAATTGGCTATGAACGTGGGAGACAAGAATTAATAAACTGATTATAACATGGGAACAGTAAATCGTACAATAGTAATCTATCGATTAAAATGAAGCTTATAATAAGGGAAATATAGATATATATATCTAATCTAATTATTGAATAATTATACTATAACAATATAAATCGATAATATGAGTTCGTTAATAGATTTCAAATGTTACTCAGAACGTCATCTTCTTGAGGGTATAACAGTTTCGTCTATCTATTTCTTTATCTATCTTGACAATAGATATTGATTTATCATTAATTAGATAATCATGTTGCCAATTCAAGAATTGAAAACTGAACAATATATATTGACATTTAATATAATGTCTCAGATTATACATTTTAATAGGTTGTACGGTGAATAATTAGAGGAAGACCAAAGAATACATTACGCCGGGAAATGGAGATAGATATGAGAAAAATGAACAAGAATTGGATGGAATTAGAAAAGAAGGCCCAGGACAGAGTGGGTTGGAGAATGCTGGTCGGCGGCCTATGCTCCATTGGGAGTAACAGGCATAAGTAAGTAAGTAAGTAAGTAAGTACGGTGAATAATTATAAACTTTAGATAAATACGCTTAAATAGGTTATGCAATTAAAATAGACATAATCATCTGTTAAAACATATAAAAGATAGATAACTTATTGAAATATATGATTGTCTAAAACAGATAACCTAGACGTTGAAACAATGATTGTTCCATTGTAGTGTTAAATATACACAATGTGATTCCATTACATTATAAACAATGAAAAGAAAAACGTATGTACTACTTATTATCTTTCACCATCACCACCACCACCACCACCACCGCTACTACTTACCACCACCACCACCACTACTACTACTACTACCACCACCACCACCATCACGGCAACAATAATAATAATAACAAAAACAAAAAAAAACACATATTCTTACAGTATGATTTGCTGATTCCCATTTTTTTTTAGAAAAAAAAAATTTAATTTCATCTTAACTTGATCAATCAATCAGATTTGAGAATAAAAAAACAAAAAAAAAAACAAAAACAACAACAAAAAAAAAACAACAAAAGAATCATACGAACTAAAAAATAGTCACATTATGTATGATTCATGATAGAATTATTTTTTTTTCATAAAAAAGGAAATTTTCTATAGTTAAATACCTGAAATTAGTATATAAATATAAGATCACAATAGAGATAAATAACTTGATATAAATAGTTTATAATTAGTAGACTTAATTAGTAGTATATTATCATTATCATATAAATATTATCATTGTATTTTATCCATTCATTATCATTCATTAACATTAACATTGATTGACTCTTGAACAGTGGACTATTCAACTTACAATTTTCAAGTTTCTTTTTTCTTTGTAAAAAAAAAATATTAAAAAAAAAAAAAAAAAAAAAAAAAAAAAAAAAAAAAAAAAAAAAAAAATTAATAAAACATTCAATTATTTTTAATTGAAATACAAAAAAAAATTTATTTTTTGTTTTTGTTTTCTTTTTCTTTTTCTTTTATTTTTGGGTTGGGGTGGGGTGGTGGCGATATTTTCAATGAATCTATTACAACCATTAATGATTGAAAAAGAAATTCAAACTGATGAAGAAACTATTGAAAATCAATTAGTGAATTTAATCTATTTGATATGTTTTAATCAACGTTGGTTAAATAAGAGAAAAAAAGGTAAATATTTTTTTGTTTTTTTTTGGTTAGTTTTTTTTTTTTTTGATGTTATATAATGTTCTTAATGTTCTTCATGGTATAGATGCATTCTATGTGGATTGCCTTCATATTGACATATCATCTCAAAGTTTTTAACCATTGTTAATGATAGTCATGCGGACCCTAATCAAGTTGTCTGCATCTACCATCATGGTTAAGGTTAAAAATTAATGACTTTAAGTGCTGATGTCACATTTTGATTTGACCGTTATTAACTTTCTTACAACCATTCTCAACACTAGTCAACAATGACGTCGTCACTTCTATTTGTAATCATACTGTTTGTTGTTAATCTGTAGTTAAATTATATGTATAAGACAAAAAATTCCCGTTATATCACTTTGACTGGCCATAGACTAACAACAGCTGAATAGTTTTAGAAATGTTTAAAGAATTGGACAACAATTTTCTTTCAAGCTCAGCTTTGCGTTCACGTGCATTTTGTCCTATTTGTGACTTATCATTTAGATCTATATGTACATCTCAGAGTTGATATTCATTCAGTCCGGTGCTCGAAACCCAGTATCGTTTGTTTTAAATACTATCACATTATTCACTTAGTTAATATGTTCTGATAGCTATCTACTTCTATGATTATCTTATTTTATCTTTTTATTTTTCTTAAATTCTTTGAATTAAACATAATTTACTAATCATTTGTTTGAAAATTAATCATAATTTATGTTACATCAAATGTACCGCAAAACATTGTTCAATGTTTCAATGTTATAAATGAATATAGATCATAAGAGGAAGATATAGTAGAATAATTATCAATATTGATTTATATAAAACAAGTTTTCATTATACTGGTTAAATAATGATCCTTGAATAATCGATGAAAATAAACAGTCAGTTCATTGTAGTTCAATAATTGATAGAATGACCATCTTCATAGTCTGTAAATATATAAGAATAAACTTAGAAATTTTACTGGTTGAAATCATGAATCCATTGAAGCTAGACCACTATCATGGAAAACCTGGAAGCACTGGAAGACTGTTTCGTTCTAGTATGGGACTCCTCAGCAACTATTGAAATTACCAATTCTTCACAAAATTCATTCTAGTAATAATCATCTGCTTACTAGTGACTGACTTCAAAGAGATATTCCTGGAGTTCTAGTGAGAAGTAGTGACTAGTGGAGTTCAATCAGGTCTATTGTGAGATATCAGCTCACTGAAGACAATGGTGTACGGTGGTGCAAATTCGTGGATTGGTCTGTAAATATATAAGATTAAACTTAGAAATTTTACACATTTCACTGGTTGAAATCATGAATCCATTGAAGCTAGACCGCCATCATGGAAAACCTGGAAGCACTGGAAGACTGTTTCGTTCTAGTATGGGACTCCTCAGCAACTATTGAAATTACCAATTCTCCACAAAATTCATTCTAGTAATAATCATCTGCTTACTACTGACTGACTTCAAAGAGATACTTCTGAAGTTCTAGTGAGGAGCCGTGACCAGTGGATTTCAATCAGGTCTATTGTGAGATATCAGCTCACTGAAGACAATGGTGTACGGTGGTGCAAATTCGTGGATTGGTTGAAGTTACACATGAACACCGTTGGATGCCGGCCAGCTCAGTGGTCTACTGGTTAATAGTTGAGATTATGATTGAATTGAAGTTAGATCACTATGGATAACTTGAAAGTATTAGATAACTGTTTTGTTTCAATATAACACTCCTTAGTAGTGTTCATCCATGATCTCAATTCATACAAGAGAGTTTAATGCATTAGATATCTTCAGATCTTTTGATAAGTCTTTAAAACTAAATACTACTATTCTAATGTAACTGTTGTTTAAGTATATTTCTTTCTTTCTTTCTTTCTTTTTGTTTTGGAATTCAAGTGAATACATTACGTGGTCTGTTGAAATATTACTATTATACATCAATGTTCAATAGATTATCATCAATATTCATAAAAATATTAAAAACATTATTATTACAGTCATTTGACTTATTAACATCATCTTCATCCTCATCATCCTCATCAACATCATCAACATCATCCTCATCATCCTCGCCATCCTCATCATGCTCATCGTCATCCTCATCGTCATCGTCATCCTCATCGTCATCGTCATCGTCATCATCTATATCAAATGAATTACTTATTATTGGTGCTGGTCAAATGAGAACTGGTACAACTAGTTTAAAATTTGCATTACAATTATTATATAATCAATCATGTTATCATATGTATGATGTAATATATAAATATCAAGAATCTCATATTAAAAAATGGATTCATATATTTAATATGCATCAAAATTCTATACAGATTAATAAAGCTAATTGGAATGATATATATAATGAATGTCAATTTGCTGTAGATTATCCAACATGTGTATTTTATAAAGAATTAATGAATGTTTATCCAAATGCCAAGGTAACAAATTTGGTTCAATATAAAAGTGATTTGAATGGTTTTAGAATGAATTAAACATTGATACACAAGGTGATACTAAATACATATACACCACATCAATCATTCGATTGATGTAAGGGCTAGGATATTGTTCAGGTGGTTTACTTAGGGGAACCACACCTGCAGGTTTTGATCTAAAGGTGGATCAATGTTATAAGATCCAGTCTCATAGTAGTCGGTGATCAACAATACATTCATAGGTTATTTGTTGTTTTAGAATACTAAAGCCAGCCCATATACACCATTGATTTAGAATCAGGGTTTTCCAATTACATTAGATAAATCTACCGTATCCATTAATCCGGTTAAAGCACTAGATGTAGGAAACAATTTCCTACAGGTTTAACTAAACTATTCTCTAAACTGTCAAATACAGAGTCTTGCTTTAGCCAAAGTCAAAACAAGTAAGCTATTTGGCCTGATAAACTTGATCTGTTTCTAAAACAATAAATTACACATCGTTACTATACAAAATAAACAGTACAGTCTATTAACGTAGGGGAAAACAGAGACATCATTAACATACCACCGAACAGTAATCAGAGAATAGGAAAAAATAAGTCAGCAAAGTGAATCTTGTTTCATGATAAACATAAAATTATGATTGGTGGATAAAAATTAAAAAAAAGAAAAGGGTATAGTCATACAAGGTTAAAGAAAGTTAACGTGGTGGTGGGCGTTTCACCTTATCATTAGTGTGTTCATTTATCGATCACATTTTACAGCACTAGATATGTTTTCACTTACATAATAGACAACATCCCAGTAACCAGTAGGACTTCACTGATAGTGATTATATTCACATGATCATATGACAGTATTTGGAAAGGGAGAAACTGACTCTTCTTACTCTCGACCATACCAAAGCAAAGAAATAATTCACTTTTCAAATGACTAAATCAGCTATTGAATAAATGATATATAGTTCATGTTACAACTAAACATAATTGATAATGTATAACATGTCCTTTTGTATGAAATAAAAATAGCTTCCTGTAATAGTAGCATAATGAATAATTACAACATATGATAGTGTAAATGATAGTTGATAGCTGTGTCTAAACTTGGCAACAGTTTTCCAACAAGCAAAATTATTATTATTATTATTATTATTATTATTATTATTATTATAAGCTTTATTCAACATTATATTTGTGGTACAGTATATAGAATTCTCAGCATAAAGTATTTCAACAAGTTTCCCGTTTCTTATATGTTGATCAATCCTGACGATGCATATTGAGTGATAGCCAGTTAGATGTTCGGAGTTCGATAATCGACATCTGAATAATGTTGATCCGTTTCAATGTATATTGCAAACCACCATGATGTTGCTGGTTGTACCTTTTTGTAATCCGTAAAGCGAAAGGTTGTAAACTTTTCATAAACGCGCCTGAATAGGTTATGAGCTCAATAGACATAATAATTTGTTAAAACAAATAATAAAAAAAAAGATAACTTGACGAAATATCTAGATGGGAGGAATAGGTAGCTCAGATAATCTACTGATTAATTGCTAGTACTTGAAACCAATATGTTTTGAATTTGAATCTCGAGTAACGGTAAGATTGTAGATGCCTACTACTGAAGAGTCTAACAGTTGGACGAAACATCCATCTAACACTAACCAAGTCTAACCTCAATTCATTCATGAATTGAATCATATAAAATCATATATATAAATACATTACAATAATCTATCTAAAATACTTCTATATTCAATCAACTACATTAATATAAATAAGAAATTTCATTAATATTAATTCAATTACGTAAATTATTCTAGTTGCCAAATACTTTTTATAGTAAACAAAATTGATCACCTGATCTATTGATTATTTGACCTTGATGAATAAGAAGTGAAGTTTTATTATATTAAATTGAATATAAGTAAAGTTTGTTCACTTCATATTGTTGTTTTATATGAATCTTCTCATTGATGTTTAGGACTGTAGTTGATCAGTCTCTTATTGACATATATACATCCTGTACGGATTACCTTGATATTGTCTTAATTGTCAAGCATTATAAGCAAAGATAAATAGTGGCTAGCAGTGGAATGTTGTTTAACGCGCGTTTCGTCGTATTTGGGACTCGTCAGCTAGATGTACACCTGCATTTCAGAGTTGATGTTCACTGTGGGACTCGAACCGAGTATCGTCCGCTTCAAACGCCATCGCGTTATCCACTTAGCTACTGAGTCCTAATAGCCACTTATTTGTACAATGGGGTGAAGTTTAATTCACTTGATATTGTTTTATTTGAATCTTCTCATTGATGTTTAAGACTGAAATTGTTCAGTCTCTTATTGGTATGTGTGCATATTGTGGGTATTTCTTCGATATTGTCTTAAGTGTCAAGCATTATAAGCAAAGATGAATAGTGGCTAGCAGTGGAATCTAGTTTGACGCGCGTTTCGTCGTATTTGGGACTCGTCAGCTGGATGTACTTGCATCTCAGATTTGATGTTCACTGTGGGACTCGAACCCAGTACTGTTCGTTTCAAACGCCATTGCGTTATCCACTTAGCTACTGAGTCCTAATAGCCACTTATTTGTGCAATGGGGTGAAGTTTAATTCACTTGATATTGTTATTTTACTTGAATCTTCCCCTTTTAAGGTTTAAGATGGCAATTGATCAATTTATGATTGGCAATATATACATAGTATGCGTATTACTTCGATATTGTCTTAATTGTCAAGTATTATAAGCAAAGATAAATAGTAACTAACCATAAAATCTGGGATGAGAGTTTCAGACTGAATATCAACTCTCAAATGTAGGTACATTCAACTGATGTGTCCGATATAAGACAAAAAGCGTGTGAAACTAGATTTCACTGCTAGCCATTATCCATCATTGTTTTTTTAAACTTTATTGTTTATTTATTTATTCTATTCACATTTTACAATACTTGAGTTTAATAGAGTTCAAATTGTAATCCCATGAAAATTAGTTACAAAATAGTGAACAAGAACACCAATGGGGACAATCGAATCTACTTGTGCACATAATTATAGAGCATCTCAATTAAATCTGAGAACCATATATAGTAAATCGTTAATTTGCAACATATAAATCCATCATATCAAACTTGACTGTTCCTGTTGAAAAACATCAATTCATTGTCTCATATTTCATTGTTCATACGTTTTCAAACCATTTGAGTTTCGTTTGCGTTGTTTCCTCATCGACCTTCTACTGAAATATATTCTATGCCGGACCATCGTTATATACTACTTGTGTGGATATAAGTAACCCACACCACACAATAACTTCACCATACTCCATAATTACATAAATTATCTTTATTAATCTATCTAATCCCAATTCATAACAAAACTATATTTGCAACTACAGCAATATTATTCAACCACACCACTGCTTCTCACTAGAACTCCAGGATAACCCCTCTTGAAGCTAGTCACTAGTGAGCATATATATTGATTCATATCAAAAGGGGTTTTGTAGAGATTGTAGTAATTTCAACAGTTAGCGAAGGACTGAAAGGTTCTGCGTTCGAATCCTGTTGAAAAACATCAATTCATTGTCTCATATTTCATTGTTCATATGTTTTCAAACCATTTGAGTTTTGTTCCCGTTCTTTCTTCATTGACCTTCTACTGAAATACATTCTATGCCGGACTATCGTTATATACTACTTGTATGGATGAATATAAGTAACCCCATATCATAATATCTATTAAGAATTTTCGAGTTATTCGTTTCACCGATCAGTATTATTGAGAACTTATTCAATTATCTTGTATAATTTATTTATTTTAGTTCAATTGTTAAACAGATAGATTGTTTTTTTTATAACAATAATTCAATTGAATCATGATCTTAACCATTGAAATTATTATAATATTCACAAAAACCTCCTTCCGATATGAATTAACATATATACTCACTAATGATTAACTTCAACGAATATATCCTGAAGTTTTAGTAAGTTGGAAGAAAGCTAGGGGCGGCCAGACCAAAACATGGCACAATTCCATGAAGTCACTGACAAGTGGACTGAGTCATGTTGGTAGGTGTAGACTACCTGGTTGGGGACCGCGAGACGATAGCAACCGATGGTTAGAGACCTTGAATGACATGGCTCAAAATCGTTTGCAATGGCGCAGGTGCATCCACTCTTTGTGTTCTCTCAAACTCTAATCTTCTGAATTCTTCATGTCCTTTATTTTCTTTCTCAATTTATTCCACTGGACTATACTCCTTTAATAACATCATCAAACCTTAATGTCCCCTATCTCTACTTATACTTTCAGTACCTCTACCACTATGGGATTTGAATCGATAACTGAATCTCTGTGCTAATGTGGTATGGCAACTCGAACTGATGTACGTACGTACGAAGTTCCACGTTGTTACTGACTGACTGACTTTAGTAAGAAATAGTGACCAGTAGAGTTCAACTAAGTCTGTTATGAGATTATAACTCATTGATGACAATAATACATATGTCACTCAATTTTATCGATAAATTGAAATTAGACATTAACACCGTTAGTGCCGGCTCAGTGCTTACGCGCAAAAGCAATAGGTCCTGAGGCGGACGGGGGGGGGGAGCCAACTGGTGGATGCGCACTGCTGACAAGTCCCACGGTCGTCCAGTGTTTCCAGGTTTTCCATCTCTCTTTCTCTCTGTATATATATATATATATTGAAAGAATTTTTTTCTGTTTGATTATTTCCACAGGTTATTTTAACTATACGTGATGCTGATTCATGGGTTTCTAGTTGTCGTGCAACAACTGCATCTGATATGGTTATGACTAAACATATAACATTTATTGAAAGTATTATTTATCGTTTACGTGGTTTAAATAGTTTACCAATATTACATGATAAAATGTATACTAAAGTATTTGGTCAAAATTATGATCAAATGACAAATGATCAATTAAAAAATGCTTTTCTACAATGGAATCAACAAATTATTGATTATGTACCAAAAGAACGTTTATTAATATTTAATCCTAATGATGGTTGGAAACCATTATGTGATTTTTTAAATAAACCTATACCAAATAATATACCATTTCCACATTTAAATAAACGTTTAGATTTAAGAAATAATTTATTAAAATATCGATTTTTAGCACAATTTTTAAATTTTTCATTTATTATTTTAATTTTATGGTTTATTCATTATATTATTATTATTTTATTTTAAATTATAGATTAACTACTTATTTTTTAATTAAGTAGTTTGATAAAATATAGTCAATTTTTTTAGATTTGAAAGTAGTATTTCAATTAACATTATTATTTTATAAACAAATTCAATGTTTATTCAATAAAAGACCTTATTATCTAGTTTCATTGGTTATTATATTGAACTATTATAGATGATGATTTAGCAGATAATGAATTGTACATCTTCATTATTGTTCCAAGAATCAGATATATATGTGTATTACTCACTATGATCATAGTTGTGATAATGGTTCTTGACGAATAAAGTTTAGATATTTTAAAAGTGCAATCATTAATTGTTATATCTTGAGGGGTCGATAAGTAAAGGGGCAGTGAATAATCGATCGGATCAAAGACGCGTAAACCATATGCGAGCGGCCTAGAGTTCTGATTAGTCCTAGTTTCCGCCTAGCCTAGTCAGTTAATTGCAAAACGTCAGTCTCAGCCTCTACAATACGAATCGTTTTGTTTCAAACATACTCAGTTTATATACTAATCAAATGGACCACAACGTCCTTGGGAAACGTTAAAAAATACCATACTAAAAGAGTCAACGAATCAATAGCATTTAAAATCTTTCTAAGTGGGTTATATGACATTAAGGTGAAAATGGGTGCTTTTAGATGAAGAAGAAAAAATTCAAATTTTTAAAATAAAATTACAAAAATAAGGTACTTACTTACTTACTTACTTACTTACTCCTGTTAATCCTCGTGAAGGAGCATAGGCGGCTCACCAGTATTCTCCATCCCACCCTGTCCTTGGCAATCCTTTCCAGCCCCTTCCAGTTCTTATTCATCCTTTTCATATCCGCTTCCATTTCCTGACATAATGTGTTCTTTGGCCTTCTTCTTTTCTGCTTTCCTTCAGGATTCCAAGTGAGCGCTTGCCTCGTAATGCAGTTTGATGATTTCCTCAATGTATATCTTATCCATTTCCATCGTTTTTTCTTAATTTCCTCTTCAGCTGAAAGCTGGTTGGTTCTCTCCCACAAAATACTATTGCTCATGGTATCCGGCTAATAGATGTTGAGTATATCGCGTAGACAGTTATGGATAAATACTTGTACCTTCTTGACGGTGGTTATTGTAGTTCTCCACATTTCAGTTCCGTACAGTAGAACTGCCTTGATGTTCGTATTGAAGATTCTGACTTTGATGTTGGTTGAAAGTTGCTTTAAGTTCTCAACAAACTTTTAAATAGTCTCCAATTGTTATTCGATCTGACTTCAAATTGAACAATCCTTAAGAAAACTTTTATTTAAAACAATTTCGATGGTCTATAATCCTTTAGTTAATGAGCTTCGAATTCTATTTCAACAGATCTGACAATAAGAAATAGTTGGAATAAAACAGTCACATTCTGAGAATATCACTTAAAGATGAGATTGAAATTGAAATTGACAAGAGACTTTAACAACTGTTCACATTATGTATTTAATTATAATTCATAATAAATTAAACCCAAAAACTAGCGTCGCAACAGTCGATTATGACATTATATGTATATATATATATATGATTCATTTTATTGGAACATCCAACTGACGAGTCCCAAATAGGACGAAACGCTCTTCCGGAATTCGACTGCTAATCACTATTCAACTCTATTTATAATGGTTATGAATTAATAGCAATATTGAGACAATGTCCATAGAATGCGTGTACGTCTGAATAGAGTAATTGATTTCGGTCCTAAACATCAATGGTAACATCTAAACTACCTTCTCTCCAATCTCTGAATATAAGTAATTTACTTAGCATTGGCCATGGGAACTGTCAATTCTATTTGATAGGTGTAGGTTGATCGGTTTCATAATATTGTTTCCTAAAGGGTCGCTATAATAAGTACTCAATCATATATGCAATGCTAAAAGCTACAACAACAACTCACGAATAAAGAAGCTAACTGAAGTGAAATCTGAAGTTACCCGACGTCAGTTTATTTTGGAGATTTCAACTTTATTTACCAGATTTACCACAAGCGGCTAAATCCACTGGAATTCTTCAATATGCAACTTAAGGTGTTCTCACAGGCCTATCCCCCTGGTTAGTAATGTAAATATTTACATTGATAAAATGTAGGAGATTATGGTCAGCTGTAGAGTCCTATTATATCTCATAGTGAATTTTAAAAGCATCAGATGAACGACCTACAGTAATTTTGATGGGATATACAAAACTAACAACGAAAATCTATTTCTATGTGAAGTTGTGGTGTCCTATGTTCAACTCCTACCATATCCATTTGTCGGCCAACTGATAACTAAAGAAGTACAAATGACCAGTCGCATTTTGACAGACTCCCCATTTTCGGAAGCAAAACAACGTCGACTTCAAGGAGACAAAACAATTATGGAGCTCCACCGATTGACATGAAATACAATTGTTCTTAGACTTATTAGAAAGAACAATTTATCGTAAAATCATGGTCGTCGGGAAACGGATTATCCTAGGTGAGGACTGTAATTAGTATTGCTGGCATCCAAGGGTATGTTGTGAATAATTACATTAACTTTACTTGGTGTTGATTTACTTCAATCTTCCCATTGTTATTTAGGACTGCAATTGATCAATCTCCTATTGGCATATGTGCATCCTGTGTGGATCGCCTCAATCCAGCTTTAACTCACAAGCTTTTTAAGCAAAGATGGATAGTGGCTAGCATTTCAAAAGCCGATGACTAAAGGTTACATTGAGGCAATCCTCATAGGATGCACGTATGCCTAACAAGAGACTGATCAATTACAGTCCTAATTAACAATGGGAAGTATCAAGTAAAATAACACCAAGTGAATTTAAACTTCATCTCATTTTACAAGCAAGTGACTATCAGGATTCAGTAGCTAAGTACATAACTCAATGGAGTTTGAAATGAATGGTACTGGGTTAAAGTCCTAGAGTAAAACATCACCTATGAAATGCAGGTACATCCCACTTACGAATCCCAAATAGGACGAAACGCACATCAAACTGAATTCCATTGCTAGCCAATATCCATCTTTGTTAATAATTATGTTAACTACTTTCATACTTTCTTCTTAAATTAAATTTTATAATTATCAATATCAATTTATAATGAATAGAAGTGTGACATAGGTAATGAAAATTGATTATCGTTTGTTAATAATCCATCTAGATTAAATGATGCCTTGATAACACAATTATAATACATCAAACGATCATGAACTATAGGTTTACTTTCTAAAGATTATATTATATGATCCCACGGGGGGAGGCAGAATCGTGGATGCGCACTGCTGAGAAATCCCATACTAGGACAAAATGGACGTCCAGTGTTTCCAGGTTTTCCATGATGGTCTAGCTTCAATTGATTCATGATTTCAACTATTGAAATTACCGATTCTCCACAAAACTCTTTCTGAAATGATTTAGATATATCACACAGCATTTTACTGAATTCCTACACTCCAATTCCTAGTAAGACCCCATTCCGAAACATTATGTTAAGCCCAAATACCTTATTATTATTCTAACTTTCGGACAGCTCATTCTATTCATTCTATTTGAGTCACATTCTGACCTTGTTAATTATTCGCTTATCAATGTCTTGACTGTCTTTGTATGAGCGCGTAGGCGTATGCACACTTCTTATCCCGTTACTCATCACATGTCTGTAATTTATTTTTGTGGGCTTATAAATATTGATTAACTCTTTGTTAAAGGGGGAGTTGGCTTACCAGTTATCTCCACCGCTCGTCAACTTTGCTTCGCTTTCTTCTCTTCGCATCGTTCTACCGTTCGTTTGTCTAATCAACAATTATACAAAATATATGCATTCAAAACTCCATTCTCGTTAGTTGGCTTATTTCATTCCGTTATTAACTAACGCGATTTAAGTCAATGATCATATACGAGGATAGACGATAGCAACCAATCATTACGATCAAATTGGAGTCAGATCACCGGGCCACTAAAATAGTACACTATTACACGTGTAAAGTAAGTACAGGCTTGTTAAAACATATCAGAATCACTAATTGTTGTAAATGTTTATTAACATTTCGGTTTACCATATATAAAGTAGATACATATTATACTTAACTCCGCTTGGGGCCCCTATGGGGCTAATACCGATCCCAAGCGCGGATAAAGGAAGAAGGTTGGGCATGGGGTTAAAGACCCTCGTAGAAAGCTTACTCGCTAAAAAAAGAAAATACGAACCAGAAAAAAACATATTATGTTTATCATATAAATTATGAATAGGTCAAACTATATATATCAATGTATTCTGCAGTAAAGAATAATGTTAGTGAATGTTCGACAAAATCTTTGCTTAATTTCTACGTTCTTTGAGCCCCCAAATGCCCTGGTATGGCCGAGAGTGGGGGGAGTCCGCTCTCCCTCTCGAAATGCTCTCACATGGCCACACGTATACAGCCCCTGCCAGGGAAGTCCTACTCACTGCCTTCTCGTGGCGGGGGTGTTGTTTACAAAAATGAGAGGACGAAAAGCGAATGTCCGGCGCTTTAACCGTACCCCAAACCAATGGTGCACATGGGCTGGCTCCAGTATCCTGAAGGAACAAATGGCGTATGAACCAATCGTTGGTCACCGGCTGGCTACCATGGGACTGCATCTCCTCACGATGCTCCACTGCCTTGTGGATCAGATCTTCAGGTCAAAGGCTCGGAATGTGGTCCCCTAAGAAAACCACCTGCTTCGGTTTGGGCACCCGGGCAGTATCACAGCCCTCACACATATCAAATGACATATGTGTGGTGCATATGTATTTGGTGCCTTCTTGTACCGATATTTATATGTTAAAATAAATAAATAAATAACGTTCTTTGAGTTGAATACATACGTGTTAAGGAACAATGTGTCATGTACATTACAACTTGTATCACATTGTTATCAATCACCATAACAGTTTTATATAATAACTTATTATTATTATAATTATTTACTAGTAGAGAGAATGCTCAATATCAAAAATTATTTACTTTTGTGAACATCATCAGGAATTCATACGATAGACTACAGTGCAAAGTGGTGCATGAAGGACAGATGACAGACTCATTCCAAGTAAGGACAGGAGTTAGACAAAACTGACGACTCTCTCTATTTCTCTTTCTCCTTATGATTGACTAAATTATGAAGACCTCGACATCTGAGCAGAAACATGGAATACAATGGAAAGCTCAGAACTAAT